TCTTCTCTTCTCAAGTGTGATAATCTTATGTGTTACTTTAGTTTGTATCCTCATAAATATGAGTTCCACTATATATGTGTACAGAATGGGGTTTTACAGAGGTCTTACAAGCACACACAAAGGGAGAGGTCGGCAATTTTTAGCAATTTTTTATAATCCATGGATCTCGTGTGGGGCAGATCTCTTGTGTCTGTTTTCGAGCGAATCTGTGAACACCTCTGTAGCTCTGGCCTATAAATATTTAGTGGAGATCCTCAAATGAGGTTCCCTTGAGGAATCTTTTATGTTAATCATTGTATCTTTTATTGTGGTCATTATTTTTTCATATTATATATAAGTCTTTCTTTTGCCATAGTGGATGCCAGATGGATATTGTCATTGTGGATGAAACAACATGTGGTTATCTGACACATCATTAATTTATTCGTCAATTCATTTCAGTAAACGACACAAGAGAGACAAATGAAATGACCAATCTGAAAGAGAACGTAAAGTTTGGCAGAATGATAACAAATTGAATTCATATACCAATAAGATGTTTTACTCAAATATATGGACTATATAAAATAATTATATACATGATTTAAGAAGAGGAATACATGAGCTATTTATTAATTATTTATAACTTGTCAAACATGTCCTTAGTTAAAATCAATATGTCCTAAAATGGGCAGAATCATTCACAATCTAACCAAGTTGAAATGCCTATTCAACCAATTAATTAATGGATGCAAATAATTTGTGTTGACACTAATTTTTATAAAAATTTTCCAACTTCATTTTTCTATATTTTACCCCCCAAAAAGTGCTTTATTGCTTGGAAAGAGGACATAATGCGGATAAATCATTACCCTATACTTTCTATTGATATATTCAACTGATGGTCACCGCCAAAAATAAAGCACTTTGATCCGTATACTACATAATGCGGATAAATCATTACCCTATACTTTCAATTGATATGTTCAACTGATGGTCACGACAAAAAATAAAGCACTTTGATCTGTATACCATACAATCCTCACGACAAAACTCAAATATATTTTATAATATTTTCAGTTCAATCCTTAAAATAATTTACAACTCACAGAACTTCCTATAAAATCTATACTACTAGTATCAAGCATATCCCATTGGTGCAAAGGACAATGGTGATGTATATTCGATCTTGCTGTCAGTCGTAGTATGAGGGTTCGATTCCTGAAACATGGATTGAAACTCTTTGTGGGCACCAGTGTATGTCTAACTCTTGTTCCCTAACCTATTGAAGCACATTCTGCTATTAACCTTTCTCACGATGCTTCAAGTGTGGGGCGGTGGGGGACCCTTAAGGTTGGGGTTCAACCTTTTTTTATTTTTATTTTTATTTTTATTTTTTTATTTTTAATACTACTAGTATCAAGGATGAATTACTTTTTGAATATAGAATACATTGCTGGAATTTCGTTATGCTGGGTTCAGTAAACCTTACAAAAGAAGGAAACAAAATCACCTATACACGATATTCTTATTGAGTTATCGGTTTTTTTAATATCTTTTGCTACCAGCCGTTTTACAAAGTTAATAGTCTTTTACGTATTTTGGATTATTCAATTACCATGCAACTTAACTCTTACATATTAAATAAATTTAAACTAACAGATGCTTGAAATTTCTAGAAAAACAGTTACTATAGCTCATGTAGCTTTTATACCAACACTTTCAAGTTCTTTCGAAGAAAGGAGGTGGGAAGGGAAGTACTTCAAGGAGAACATTTCAACAAGTTAGTATTGTTGTAGTTCTGGATAAATATGAAAAGTATCTAGTAGGATACATAATTTTGAGAAGGATGTCAAAAATGAAATTCCAAATTCCTTAAAGTATTTCTCTTATTTCCCTTCAAGACAAATGAAAAGTAGATGCAAATCTTTCCTCTATTTATTATTAGTAAAATGACTAAAGCAAATTTCTGCTACATAGTTGATAAGTGTATTTTCTACACTTATTCGGGGCTCTAAACTATATAATTTTATTGTTCTTTTGGCAAAGTATGATCTAAATTTTATTGTATTAATTTTCTTAGGTAAAACTCGTGCTTGGACGAAGAAGGAAAGGAAAGAAGCAAAAATTAGCGAAAAGTGACAAAATCCAAAACACGGGGATTAAATTGGCCATTGATGGAAGTTGGAGGCCAAGGCATACAAGTCAAAAAGTGGAGGGTTTGAGATGCAATTATTCAGGGACCAAAGCTGAAAATTTTCCTAGGTTTTACTATTAAAAACCATGCAGATCCTGGGGAGAAGGAGAACGGCCGAGAGAAAGAAAAAAGGAGAAAACCCTAGAGAAGAAAGAAAAAAAAAACAGCCGGGAGTTTTTGGGAGGATTTTTTGGCAGCCAATTGGAGAGATTAACCGACACAAAATAGAGCTGCTGGAATTGAACAAGATACATATACTAGTGCGTGGTTTGCAACTGAATTTTCGGGAAGACATCGGCTACGGTTGGAGTATAAAAGGCAGCTGCTTGAGAAATTGTTGAGGGATTCACACATATAATTGGGCAGCAAATTGGAGGGGAGTTGACAAAAAAAAATACAATCTGGTCGGCATCTTTGGGAGGAGAAAGAAAAAAAAAGACTGCCTTCTGCTGGAAGAAATTGCCGGCAGGAAAGAAGGAGAGACATACATATACACAAAAAAAAAGGCAGCAGAATTTGAACTTCAAAAGGGCTGCCGACTGCTGTAGTGGGAAAGATATATGTATATACATTCATGCACATGCAAAAGGAGGAGAATTGGAGAAAAACCTAGAAAATATTTGTTTTGGGGCTGAATTTTATATACTTTATACACATCAAAAGGCAGAAACGGCTGGAAGAAGAATAGAGAAAATAAACCATAGAAAAAGACAGCTAGAGAGAGGAGAATTCGGCTGCCAATTGGTTGAGATTATACAAACATTGGGCTGATTTTTTTTTACTGATACAACCCACGCAATTGATCGGAAGACACATTGAAAAGGCGGCTGCTGGGAGTTTAATTACACGCCAATTGGGGAAAAATATATCTATCTAGACAAGCCACACGCGCGCAAAAGTGGGGAAAATTTCGTGGAGTTAATCATGTCCCGTCAAATTTCGGTGATGTTCTTCCACTTTTATTTGTTTAATTTCAACAGTATGCTAGGGTAATTTTTCTCACGTATTGGATGGATGACAAAATTGTTTAATTTTTAGTTTTAATTCGAGACCTATGTTTTTATGTTAATTCTTGCATTGTGATTTCATTAATATGCACAATTAGATTGTTCTAATGTTTGCGCACCATTAGGATAATAAGTTGCTTTTTCGTAGTGTTGGAAAACTCACGATAGGTAGAACACTATTATTGAGACACATGGGCAATAAATATTAGGAATAGTATTTGTGG